TCTACCTCTAAATCAGTCCAATCCAACACATGTGATGGATCTGGCTCATACTTCCGAAGCATACTCACATGAAACACGTCATGCACTCCGGACAACTGCGGCGGTAAGGCTAACCGATAGGCAACCTCGCCTATCTTCTCAAGGCTTCACAAAGATAAGCATATGAGCTCTATCTTCACTTCTCTAGACAAGCATATGAGCTGTGTCTACGGAGTTCATCCCCTATCTCCTCCCAATACCTATCCGGTTTATATATCCACACTTCACAAAGATAAGCATATGAGCTCTATCTTCACTTCTCTAGACAAGCTTGAATTTTTGATCAAATGAAATGAACCAAGAATGGCTAAAAGTTTCATTCTGGTACAAGAAAATCTTGAACCAGGCATCAATGTAATCATGGTAATTATACTGAATAGAATGACCAGGCAAATCACGAAGCTGGTATGGAGGACCCCATTCAGCTAAGGAAACAATGTTGTGAATGTAAATGGAATGGTACAGAATCTTATAAGCATAAGTGCGATCTTGGATTGGTTTGATCAGGATTGATTGATGATGAAGCAAAATATCTTTGTAATAGGAGAGTGTTTTCTCTGGATGTGTAAGGGTGAAATGGCATCCAGGACCAAAATAGGATTTAGCAATGTCATTAAGGATTTGGCTCTTTGGGTGACTGGGTTCTTTATAGAATAAGTTGGTAATATGTGATTTGGTGTATTCAGTTTTGGATGACCGGACTGGGTTAGCTGGGAATGGAGTGACTGAAACTGATTGACTAGGAGCAAAAGGATCAGAAGCCAATGCAGTAGAGTAATCAGGGCAACAAAGGTTACCAAGAGCTTGGTAACGATTAGCCATATCAAGTGAATAGGATGGGGTGATTGACTCCAAAGGAGGAGGGACAATAAGTTGATTTGGTTTGCTGGAAAATGGGACCAAAGCCTTGGAAGGAGGCTTTGGGCGAGACATCTGTGAAATAATAGACAGTGATTAGCAACTAGAAAGAAGATCTAAATATTCTTGATGATGATGTAAACAATTGTAGTTGTGAGCAAGTAAATTGCGGCGAGTTTGAATCTGTTGGTAATTGATGTATTGGGCTCTTTTGGTAGTTGGTCGAGCTAATTTGAGGCGGTGAATGCGATGAGTAAGTTGTTGAATGAGGGTTTTGAAATAGGTAATGCGGGATTTATGGTAAGCAGTAAATGGTGTAGTCATCCCTTACCCCCCTGTAAAAATTCCCGGGTAAGAAAATCAGGGAGGGAATTTTGACAACCAGGTATATAGGTAATATCAAAATCAAAAATACTTAAAATAGCTTGCCAACGAGCAAAAATTTGTTTACTAGCAAGATTTTGAACATCCTTTTCAAGAACATATTTAGCAGATTTGCAATCAACACGGAGTAAGAATTTTTGATTTAAAATATCATCTTGAAATTTTTGAATACATAGAACAGTAGATAAGATTTCTTTTTTAATAGTACTATAATTGAATTGTGCTTTATTCCAGACACCAGAATGATAGCGAACAATTTGTTCAGATGATTGAGGAGTAAGTTGCTGAAGTAGAATGCCACCATAACCAATATCGGAGGCATCAGTTTGAATAATTTTGAATGAATTTTCAGTGGGAATACCAAGACAAGGAAAGGACTTGACATATTGTTTGACTTGTTGGACAATAGAAGTATGAACAGAAGACCAAGGAGGAGGATTATCCTTTAACCTATCAAATAGAGGTTGACAAGTTTTCCTAAGGTCTTTATAAAATTCAGCAATGTAATTGAGGGAACCTAAGAACCTTTGTAATTGAGTTCTATCAAGAATTTCATCAGGAAATTTGGATGCAAATTCAATGGATCGACTAATGGGTAGGATAGTATTATGATGAATATCATATCCTAAAAAGCGAATTTTAGTTTGAAATAATTTAATTTTAGGAGCAGAAATAACAAGACCATGACTTTTAATTGTGTAAAAGAATACAGTTAAATGTTTCCAATGTTCACTAAGTGATTTTGAAAAAATTAATATATCGTCAATGTAAACAATGGAAAAATGACTAAAAGGGTTGAATATGTCATTCATGATATGTTGAAATTCGCTAGGAGCATTTTTTAAACCAAATGGCATGACATTCCATTCATATTGACCAAAGGGTGTGTTGAATGCAGTTTTATATCTATCTTTAGGATGAATTTGTATTTGCCAAAAACCACTTTTTAAATCGAACTTACTAAAAATAACAGCTTGACTAAGTCGTTTAATTAAATCTTTTTTATTAGGAATAGAATATCGAATCCATTCTAAAACATCATTCAAAGGTTTATAATTGATAACTAGGCGAGGAACACCGCGTTCTAATTCAGCATTTTTATTAACATAAAAAGCAGAGCAAGACCATGGTGATTTACTTGGACTAATGATTCGATTTTGTAGTAAGTTATTAATTTCTTTTTTGCACATTTCAAGTAATTCATGATTCATTTGAATTGGTCTAGATTTAGTAGGGATATGTTGTTCATCAAAATTTTTAATATATGGTAAGGTAACTACATGTTTTTTCCTATGCCAAAATGCAGTAGGTAAAGTGGAGCAAACAGTTGATTCAAGTTTTAATTTAAAATCATTGATTTGAGAAATAAGAACTGGATTAGTTAATTGTTGGTCAATGCGTTTGTGATTTATTTCTTCTTTAAGAAATTTTAAATGTCGAGTTAGGCGGCTAATTTGATGAGAAATAGAACAATCTTGTAATTGGTTTAAGTGTAATAGTTCAGGAGGAGATAAAAATTTGAACGTAACAGGTTGTCCTAAAACATGTGTAGTTATTCCTGTACTAGATGTAGTAAAAGGATATAATAAATAGATAAATGGAGATCCTAAAATAATTTTATCAGTCATATTGGTAACCAGAACAAAAGAGGTTTTAAAACATACATTATCTTGGCAAACATGTACTTTGGGTAATTTTATATTTGATATGCATTTTAGTACCGTTAGCAGAAGTTAATTTTTCTTGACATTTTTCATAATATGTAGTAGGAAGTAATCCTTTCTTGTATGCAATTTAAATCAGCACCAGTATCAATAAAGCAATTAATTCTAATTCAAAATCATTAACAATTATTTTGATTTTAGAACTACCACTTTTGAATGTAAAGTTTGTTGATTAAACTTAATCGTTTTTTTCTCAGGATTATTGGATTGAGATGGACGTGATTGGTTATCAAATATTAAGTTATCCGGATTAGGATCAGAATCATGTTCAGATTTCATGTGGGAGATTCCCGATTATTAGGTTGGAAATTATCTAAACTTTTATTAATTTTTAAAGTAATAATTTCATCTTCGAGTTTTTTTATCTTTATGTTGTAATTCTTTGATTGTTTGTTTAATTTGATTGATTTCTTGTTGTAAATCTTGTAATGTTGCTTCTTTTTGTTTAGTTTTAAAATCTTTCTAAAGTTTTGGATAGACTGATTATTGATTTATCAAACTTTGGTTGGTATTCGAATGGATTAATAAGGATTTTAAATTTATCAGTATATTTTTGTTTAACTTGGGATCGTCTAATTTACTAATTAGGTCGATTAGAGCAGATTCTTCCTTGAGTACTTTTGGTGAGAACAGTAATTTGTTTAACCGGTTTACAACAAACATCATTACAACCTATTTTAATATCATTATACGGAATCATCACTAGGTGATCGGAATCAGATGAAGTATCTGGATGATCAGAAGAAGAACTACTAATAGTTTGATTTAATTGAAAAGATTTCAATATAAATTGATTTTTGGAATTATCATCAATTTGGAGTTGATTAACTTTGTCTTTTAATTTTTGTGTCTTTACATTTATTTGAATAATGTCCTTTTTGACCACAATTATAACAAGTAACATCTTTAGTTGATTTAGATTTTGGATGAGATTTGGATTTATAATATTTCTTTTTGGGTTTAGTATAGAATTTATCATTATCATTGGATTTGGAATAATTCTTTTTATATTTATATTTACTAGAATATTTGTATGATGATTTATGTTTATGTTTGGAGTATTTGTGTGATTTCCTACGAGAGGGTGCAACAGGAGGTAAACCATATTGTTCACAGAAATTGCCTAATTCATATTTAGCTTTATGTTTATCTTTATTAGCTTTCTGAGTAAGTTTAAGATCAATACACATTTTTAAACCTTCTTTTTGTATAGTGCTAATTATATCACCATATGTTAAATTATCATATTCAATAATACCAGTAGGTTGACTAAGAACATCTCTAATTTTGTGAGCAAATAAGCTAGGTAATCCATTAATAAATTTCTCTTTCCAGAAGGGTTTAGTACAGTCGTCTCTTAACATAACTCTAGAGGTAAATACATCTTTATACCATCTAAAATCACTTAAGGTTGGACAGTTAAGATTACTTAGTTGATCATGGATTCGAGAATAAATATTCGTAGGTGTACCAATAAAATGTCGAACTATTGTATATATTAGTTGATTAATACCATCCGGGTGACAACATCCGATAAATTCATCAAAGATGGGTAGACCATTTTCATCAGTTTGATTAGCATAGATGATTGTATCACGTTGTTCTTCAGTAAGGTATTTTTCCCACCAAGATTTGAGCATACCAGTAAAACCAGAGGTGAGTAAGGAAACAATTTCAGGTTGAGAATATTGAGGATAATTACTAAGATAACTATTTGCGACCATGGATAAATGATTTAATTTTTGCAGGATTTGATCTTCACTTTGACCATCAATATTCCATTCATATAATCGTTTAGCAGAAACAGAAAATTGATTACTAATATTAGTTTCTTCAAATTGGAGGTCAGGTGGAGTAGGTCGAGAATACCAATTTTTTGTAGTTTGGGGATTAACTTTGGGATAATGAATTTTATTAAGATGAGAAGGTTGGAACTGTTGGGCTAATTGATTTATTCCATTATCAGTAGTGTCAGTTTCGGAGTGATCAGAAACAATGTTGGTAATAGGTTGTTGATTTAAAACAGTAAGACCTTTATCTTTAGATGTAGAAGTATCATTGGGAGTTAATTTAGTAAATAATTGTTCAATAGCTTTGACGGTAGATTGATCATTAGTAACTAGGCTGGTTCGTTTAGAACGATGACTGGGAAGATTTAGTAAAGGTTGATCTAAAGTTTTAGTAGTTTTAGCAGATTGTTGTTCCTCTAAATTAATTTCTAGTTTATCTAATTGCTTACCAATTGTTGTTAAACATTGATTAGTATAATTATTTTGTTCTATAACTTTTTTCATTTCAGAATCAGTACCAGGTAATTTAAAAGGAGAGGCTGGAACTTCAGAACCCTGATGATCAATAATTATAGTTGCCAATGGAGGATGATTGGAGCTAACAGAAGTACTAGGAGAAGTTTTCCATTTATGTTTGGTGATTGTGTTAATCTTTTTGTAATATTGATCCATATAATCAAAGAAGGATAATTCAAAACCATATTGAACCATAAAATCATACCATTCTCTAGTTATTTTGGATTGCTGAGCAGAATTATATTTAGCACGGTAATCATGTTGTTTAGTTCTGTTTTCTTTAGATCTAAATTCAATAAGTAATTTATCTAAATCAGGTTGAAAATCCTTTTTAATTGTCATTAACTGGGGATTCACAGGTGATATCAATTCTTCGAAATCAGTTTGAGTTGGGGAATTATTTGAGGCTATTTCTTCTTCAGGGAAATGTGTAGTCGTAGTATAAACAGGTTTACTAATCTGGGAAGTGGTAGAATTATCAATGCCTTTTAGTTTATTTTGGGAAGTTTGAGTGGTTTGACCTAGATGGATTTGACTATTTTTTCGAAATAAAGGAGTATTAAATATTTCATCTTCAATTGTAATTTCAGAAGGAACACTAGATGTACTATGCCTAGAGGATTGACTCCGATTAAATTTGATTCGAACAGAACCATCATTATATTGTTGAATATCTTGGACATCTTGAATTGAAGATTGTTGCTGACTATGTTTATAATTTTCATTAGTTGTAAGCCATTGATCGGGAAGAGTAATGTTTTTCCATTCAATCATTTGGGGAACATTAATATGTGATTCATTATTACTACTTTGAATTAACAGAGTTTTATCTTTTGGACTTTTGTGTAAGGCCTGAACATTTAAATTCGTTTTCATGCATTTATAATGAACACGATAAATGAGAGCAATATTATGAACTTTTTCTAACATATTAGTAAATGAACCATTTAATTGAATATTTAAAGTTAATGCTTTCAAAATATGTGGATCACGTAAACTAAGTGTGAAATCAGGAAAACAATCAAAATGAACTGGACCTTTATGTAGACCAGTTTCCATCATTCCCATTGAACTATCATTGTAATCAATAAAACGAGCATCTCTTAAACATAATAAAACAGAAGCATCTTTTCCTTGTGGGGTTAATGGCTTAACACCGACTTGGATTAATCCGAGATGAATGAAATTCTTACCATTTTTTAAATGTCTTTTGATTAGATTAGAATCAAATAATTGACAGGTTTCTCTAGGTTTTGCTAATGCATAAACTTGTTCAATGGTTTTAACATGCAAATTAACATGAAAAGTATTCTGCAAAAAAGTAGTTTTATAAATTTCTTTAATTGGTAATTTTGGGATGTTCCAGTTTAAATTAATGTTATCATTTTGTATTTCAACATCTTCTTCATTAATTACTAACCCTTGATTAGGTATGGAGGGCAAAGTTGTTGACCTAGAACTTACTGATGAGTTATTTCTAAATAATCGACTCATTGTTTTGTTTAATTAACCAGTTTTACAGATATCTTAATACATACCCTATTCTTGTCAGTTTTACCACATACCTAGTATACATACATACCCTATCTTTAAACCCCAAAGTCTGACTCTGCCTAAACCGAAGGACTTACACAAGACTGGGAAGAAGTGGGTGACTTAAACTAGGTGGATAGAACAGACTGATCTTGTGGGTGATTAAGATGAACTGAAAACAAGATTAATCAAATAAACAATAGAGAAGATTGACCAGAAGTAGCAAAGCAGTTAGAAACAGGATACAACATAACTTGGCTCTGATACCAAAAGAGCGAGAGCAGCATATATATGAAGGAGATGGATTA